GGTGAGTCATCGCCTAATGTCAGCATGAATGTCCGTCGGAGCTAAGCCTTTTTTTCTGCAGTTACTTGATAACACAACGATGTCAAATTTTCTCCATTTTCAAGAGTATGCCGCTAATATATACATTTGAAGTCTTCTTTGAATAATCAGATGTCAGTTTACCTGCAAATAAACAAAGCAGTTATTAATAAGAAGATTTGAAATAATGAATACAAGATTTCACAGCTCTAGCATTATTCCTTCATAGTCAGCCTACAAACTTTTCAGCCCACAACTCGTACCTGGAAAGAAACAATGCACTTAATAAGAAGAGTTGAAATTAATGAATGCAAGATTTCACATCTCTAGCATTACTCCTTCATAGCCTACAAACTTTTCAGCCCACAACACATATCCGGAAAGAAACAATGCAGTTATTAATAAGAAGAATCAAAATTAATGCATGCAAAATTTCACAGCACTAGCATCACTCCTTCATTGTCAGCCTATGTATTTTTCAGCCCACAATACTTTCTTCTTCTATTTCTTCTTCTTCTACTTCTTTTTTGTTGTTCTTTCACTGTCTGTATGACGACTATGGATCACTGCAGACATACTTATTCTAAGGACACTTAAATCTGTACTGTACACGCACGGGAAGCATGATTGCAAAATATATCACCTTATCTCACACATTTAAACGACCTGGATTGAACAAAAATAAAGACAAATACAGAAAAACCACTCGATCGAAGCAATGGTCTTAATTGCACAAATGTATCACATGATTTTAAGATAATATGAAAAGAACAATCACAAACGCCATCTAAACTAAATATACATTTACTAGCTACGTTTTTCTTTGTCCTTAGTTTGTCTTTCTCTTTATATACAGTGGGGGGAAATAAATATTCGTACACATGAAAAATTGTATTTTTATAAATGTAAAAGCCTTAACTAAAGCAAATTTTGATACATTTTATGTGTAAAGATACATTTTATTAAAAAATAGTAATAAACTTAATTAATTCTTATTCTAACAGAAAGAAATTTATTATTATTTTTAATAGTATGTGTCTTTATACATAAAATGTGCAGAGATTTGTTTCATTTAAGGCTTTTACATTTATAAAAATACAATTACAAGAACCCCCCGGACTATCAAAAGAAGGGTTTTTTCCGTTGATACCGCTATTATTTTAACTACCTTCACTCCTCAACAATGTTTACTGTTTTAAAAATCGATGATTAGAATCGTAATAAAACCTGAACATATTTTAACAGCACTTCTCAGAATTATAGGTTTCATTGTATATAATATAGGATGTGAATCTTTAAGAACATATGCAATCGTATCTCGCTAGATATGTTACAAGCACCCTGCCTACACGCAGATGTTGTAAACTGAAGATTTTACCGAATCATATATGTGAGGTATCGTCTAAATTTTGCATCCTATTTTAAAAAGCGTAATTAAGGTTGATGAGAATACCATGGACAGAACATGTGGGCAACGACGAAGTTTTTGAGAAAATGCAACCAAAAAGACAGTTAAACTTAACATCAGAAAGTGAAACTTGAAACTTCTAGGGCATATAATGAGGAAAGAGGGCTTGGGAAAGTTGACACTCACAGGACAGAGGAAACAGCGCATAATTAGTTGTGTAAATGGTTGGTAGAACAGGGATTAAGAGAGATAGCGTTATATCTGTTTTAATTTTTAAATATAACTTTGAATCATAACTGCAAACTATTCCACTCCAAAATTTCTGATGAAGCGAAATAAATAGCAAAACATGTCAAATTTATAAAGATTTCCTACGTGATATTTGTTCAATCACACACAAACATACATTATATATATGTGTGTGTGTTATTAAATGGACTGTCAGACAATTATTTTAATATATTTTCTGTTTATACATTATTCAAACTTTATTAAGGGCTAGAAAAGACATGAAACAGTAGAGATAGAAACATGGCTTATAGAATAATAATAATAGTTATACGAGTTGAAATAAAGTTTATATATATATATATATATATATATATATATATATATATATATATATATTATTCCAGGACCATTTTCCAACTAATTCAAGATGATATACGCCCTCTCTAACCTTCTAACTTTCTGTCCTGGTGCCTCACAGGTTTCACGTGCGATTTCATTTTCAAGTTCTTTTTTTTCTGCACTTTGGACTGTCATAGGTGGAACTCCTTTCCCATGTGCCAAACGTTTTATAAACTGAGTTCAATCTTTTCTAATTGATCTCTTTATCTCTCAGTTGAAATGCTGATCCATCTTGCTGTTGTGACCTCTTAATCCATTTTTCCTCTCTACTGTTCCCTTTTTTAAACGTATTCAGCGTTTTCTTGATGTTCATTGAATGCACATTGAAGATGGAAGCCAGAGCATGAATTGGTACCATTACTGAAGCCCTGAATAGATCTTTTTCCTCTCACCATTGGTCAGTTTAAAAGACAGTGAGGCTGACACAAAACGATATTAATATGTTCTCTTTCTAGCTGAATAACTCAAAGGGTTTTTCAATGATTCGTACGGCAAATGGTATCAAGATGGCTAAATGTCAATATATATATATATATATATATATATATATATATATAT